AATTCTTCTCTCTACCAGAAAATCCTGAAGGAGAATGTCTGGCCATCAATTCATGCCCTGAAGCTCAATAGCACTTAAGCTATGCACCAGGACAATGATCCAAAAACACACCAGCAGGTCCACTTCTGAAAACACAAAAATTAAGGTTGTGGAGTGGCCTAATCACTTCAGCCTGAATGAGATGCTTTGGCATGACCATTCATGCTTGAAACCCTCCCCTGTGGCTGGATTAAAACAATTTTGCAAAGAAGAATGGGCCAAAATTCCTCCAGAGTGATGTGAAAGAGTCATTACCAGTTATTGCAAGCACGTTATTACAGTTCTTGCTGCCAAGGGTCACACGGTCAGTTATTAGGTTTAGGGGGAACTACTTTTTCACACAGGGCCAGGTAGGCTTTCGATAGCTTTTTCCCTTAATAGATGAAATGCTCATTTAAACACTGCATTTGGTATTTACTCTGGTTATTTTTGTCTAATATTAAAATTTCCCTGATTATCTGAAAGATGAAAGTGTGACAAATATGCAAAAAAATAAGAAAGAAAATAAGAAAGGGGCAAATACTTTGTTGGAATTCACTGCAAAAAACATGAGCTAACATCAAGTGGACAGTTCACCCAAAAAGGTACATTTTTTCTTCCTCGGCCATTTATCCATTTAGATCGTTTCAGTGCAAGTTGTCTAGTTTTAAAAATACAAGTTTTAGAACTATCTGCCTTCCCTTGAATTGAATGGAGATGCAGGTAATCAAAGCTTTACAAAACAATGTTTGAAAACATTGCAGCAGCGCCCCTTCCTAGAAATCATGACCTGGATAGCCCACAATGTCTACAAACCTTGTTGTCAGCAGTTTCATGTGCGACTTGTTCTTTCCAACCAAAAGGAGCGTGGTTGTAGATAACGTTACAGATCAGCAGATGCAGACATCAGTGTTGTTTTCTTGTCACAAGCATGAGCCTCTTGTGATGGTTACAGGGCCATTGCTGTCTGCAGGCACCTTTTTTTTTTTATCTCTGAGGTTTGTAGATTTTGAATCTGAAAGACCAAAGTGATAATTGGGCTTTTTCTCTGGCTGGCTGGGCTGTGATCAAAATGTAGCAGAAGGTGATAAACTACAAAGTGTTTTTCAGACTGGACAGGATTTTGTTTATTGCTGAATGATGCTTCCTCTAGTTTCCACATACAGTAAAATTAGCTCTCAGGAGCTTTGTGAATTCCAAATTAAAGAGGTTTTACTGTATTTTAAAGTTATTTAAATAAAAATTTTTAAATCTACAGACCCTGTGTGAAACTTCTCTCCAGCACATAACACTGTTGTCTTTTAGGTTTTGAGATCTCTGAGTACCAGAAGCGACAGGCAGCCATGACAGTGAGAAAAGTGACCAAACAGAAAGGTGAGGCAACAAGAAGATATCAGGTGATTTCCCTTTTTTTTTTTTCTTCGCTGGTGTGCTCTGTCTTCTCATCGCTGTTTACTCTTCCCTTTACCTGCTCTGTTTTTTTGCTTTCTACACCTTTTTTGACGCATACTTTGTTTATGGATGGACCTAGACTAGTCTTGGAAGTCTAAGTAAGCTAGAAAAGTCACGAGCGTTCACGCGTTCTTGCTATATTACTTCAGATGTATCTCCTTTTAAGTTAAATGTCTGTCAGCCTATACATGAGACTACGTTGAAGATATGACCTGATATGAGTTGTAAAGCAGCTGTTAAGCATCAATGAAAAGACAGAGGGCTGTTTGCATGAAGTATTGAGTTTAAAGGAGGATGCCGGTGTTCATGACATGTGGGTCCTGTGTCACGCTTGCCTTGAAAGTGATTTAAAACATCGCACAGAGCTTGAATTTTTCTTCTCTTACTGAGGAAAGGCCTCTTCCCACTGCACATGTTTTGCAGAAGGTGCTGAAAAACGTTTCATCACTTGTAATTCTAATGCTGAAACACTCAACACCCTGTTTTAGATTTAAACAAACTGCTTGGTTTCTGAGCCAACTACTGTTTTGTCTATTTTTATTCAATGCAGATCTTTTATTTATTTGCTTATTCGAATAGGGACTACATAGCATGAACCATGTCGCGCAGCACAGCATGAGCTAATAAGTTAATTTGCATTGCTAAGTATAGAATATAAGAACTTCAGGACTCGTAACATAGCAAAGCACACACTGTAGTACAGTGAAGTGCCATATGACAGGGATCCGATTATTCGGGAACAGCAGGATTGATCCCTCTTTGAAGGAAAAGTGATCCTAATCCGGATCCAGTTTGTCCCCCTTATACGAAAAATCTTGAAACCTGTTTTTTACAATTGAGGATATAGACTATATTGCCAAAAGTATTCACTCGTCTGTCTTCACACGCATATGAACATGAGTGACATCCCATTCTTAATCCGTGGAGTTTAATGTCGGTCCAACGTTAGCAGCTTTAACAGCTGGGAGGGCTGTTAAGGTTTAGAAGTGTTTATAGAAACTTTTGACCATTTTTTCCAGGAGCTCATTTGTGTGGTTGGATAAAAAGACCTCCAGCCTAATTCATCCCAAAGATGTTCTGTCAAGTTGAGATTGGGACTCTGTGCAGGCCAGTCAAGTTCTTCCACACCAAACTCGCTCATGCCTGTTCACTGGTGCACAGTCATGTTGGACTATGTTAAGAGTTCCTAAGGGTTCAAGCCCAACTCCTGAAAAACAACCCCACACCACAATATCACGTCCACCAAACTTTATACATGGCACAATGCAGTCAGACATGCACTGTTCTCCTAGCAACCACCAAACCCAGACTCGTCCATCGGATTGCCAGACCAAGAAGCGTGATTTGTCTCTCCAGAGAACTGATCGAGCTCTCTAGAGTCCAGTGGTGGTGAACTTTGGAGGTCTGTAGCGATTGACTCTGCAGAAAGTTGGCGACTTCTACCCACATCAACATCAAGTGACCCCGCTCTGTGATCTTACGTGGCCTACTACTTCGCTTCCACTTTGTCATAATAACACAAACAGTTAACTGTGGAATATGTAGAAGTGGGGAAATTTCACGATTGGACTTGTTGCACATGTGGCATCTTATCATGGTACCACGGTGGAATTCACCAAGCTCCTGAGAGCGACACATTCTTTCACAAATATTTGTAGAAGTAGTCTGCATGCTTAGATGCTGGATTTTATACACCTGTGACCATGAACGTGATTGGAACACCTTAGTTCAATGATCTGGATGGGTGAGTGAATATTTTTGGCAATATAGTGTATATAACAGTGCCTCACCAATCCTACTAGATGCTTCACATGTTGCTGATCCCAAAGCTCATACTGGAACTACAAGGGCAACCTGATTACGTAATTTTTATGTATGAGTAAAAGTATTATTAGAAAATCTAATAAAATGATCAAAACTTAGCTTATTTGATTTCTTTTGTTTGATAGGGTGAGCTTCCCTACTTCCTATCCACACTTTTATATCATCACAGAGGGACTTGATTGCAATAGATGCTGCATGTGACCAAGAGGTTATACAATAGCTTAAATGTGCAAAGCCTGCAGAGTGTAGCATTGGAATAACAGACTGGGTATTCACAGTATTCACAAAATTTAATGAGAAGAATCATCAGAATTCTTTTTTTAAGGAATGGACACACACGCTTGCAGTGAATTTTAAAATACATGGCTTGATTTAAAGTTTTTGCATACAAAACGTGTTTTGTTCCCCAGACACAATACATATGTGTGTAAATTAGTCAAACTTATCCCATTCTTTACATACTAGCATGTCTGGAGTCAGTGCAGCCTCTGCTGTTGTTACAGTACCTACTGACAACCAAAAAGTACATGTTTTGATAGTGAACGACTAAAGCATTTTGAAATCATATATTTTTTTGATTCATCCTATATTTATCTAAAGGATTGTTGAAATGCAAACAGTGACATCCAATTGATTTTAATGATCAGACATTATTGTCTGTCTCATGCAATTTTATAAGACAAATGCTGCATTCAGTGGGAATTGGCCATGAGAGTGGTTGTTGGTGCTTCTGGTGCAACCAGAAACAAAACAATAGCTGTTTTGGTGAACACTGAACGCTGTGATATCTCGTAACATGTTCTACAGTTGTTCATGATTTATAATAAAATAGGAAGATTATGCCTTTTCTTCTAATTTACAGATTGAAAGTGTTCTGTTTTAATGCTACATATGTGACATTAAAAATCTATGACACATGTGTGGTATCAAAAACTGCATAGAGACCTACACTTGCCACCTATCTCGGTAAAAGAAGGAAGACGTCGAACAAGTTATTCAGAATGATAATTCTCGACGAAGCATCGGCGACAAAGCACCCACATGTCCAAACTGCCGGTATCATCCTTTACTATTTAGCCATTTTAGTGCTAGGCTAGATGTTTGTACATTTACCATTACTGATGTTCTTGCCAGTTTCACAATAAGCATGACCATCCATTAAGGTATTAATGAACTAATGACCACTGCTGGAATGTTCTCTCTGACATTAGGAACCCAGTAGATGTCTGTCAGAAGTAAATGTTGTCTGTTTCTAAGTGCTATATGTGTACATTGGCTGGCACAAGGTGAAGTACTCTCTTGAATTTCAGATTCATTTATAGATTTCATCTTGAGAAAGAGGGCCATGTTGTATGGACATGGTTTGAAAATGATAAAGGTATATGCATTAGAGTTCTCCTTAGAGCTAGCACAATAAGATGCCATGGCAACTGCTAAGCAGCATTGGGAGGTGTTGTGTCTAACGTTGGCATTGGAGCATGCGGTCACTGTCCAATCTGTTTACAAGCATTATGCTGTCTATAAACAGATAAACAGGTTCTCCTAACACAAAGAGATCGAACCCTTCTAACTGCTAAAACAGCGTCTGGCCAAAAACAAAAGACACTGTTTCTCATCTTCTCATATTCTTTTCCTAAGATGCCATGGCAACTTTTGAATATTTCATCTCCAAATATTGATTGTATTTAATAATGACAGTAGCATAGTTGTGATGCTTGTAGACTGTAGCTCGACGACATTGTAGACTGTAGTTAAATGCATATTAACAGCTTTCTGTTGGCTCTATTTTCGCCACTCTTGTGTTCTCAAGTGTCGAGGGTGCTATTCAAACAAACGTGCTGTTAACAAACATGGTGGAACAGCGCCCCTCTGTCCAAATGCTCGATTTCATCGGCGTATCAGTTGTAATCTGCTGCTTCTCTTGTTTGCCCGCCACAGAGTTTGATTGAATAGCATCCTTAGTCTCCCTTGTGTCATTGCTAGAGCTGAATCTCCCAATTCAGCTTTCATCATATATTCATCATATTTTCGGGATTAATATGCAGGAATGTTAACAGTGAAGGCCCATTTTGTATGTCTATGTGCCTGTTTTTGTGGAAGCATGACTTGATGTTGTGTTGTTGTGCCTGTTCCAGATGCAGTACTGATAACGTTTCCTCTTTGCTATCTGCCTCCCTCCTTCTTCTTTTTTTCTCTTTTGCTTTGTGCCCTGCACTGCCTCCTTGTCCCCTCTCCCTCCCCCACAAAACCTTCTTGCTCTTTTTTTTGTTTTTTTTTGGCGCCTGCCTTCCCAGGTGTAAACAGGTGCACGCCCCCTTCATACCCGCCCCCACAGGACCCCCTCAGTGTGGGGCAGTATGAGGTAACGGAGGACATGGCACAAGGAGAGGTTTTTGAATTCAGTCAATCCAAAAGAGGCCAGGCTCCTTTCTGGCAGAATTTTAGTAGATTAGCTCCATTTAAGAAATAGAGATACACAGACTCTTCCGATGGACCAGCTATTTTTCTTAGAAGCACTAAACACTGGATGATCATGTCCCCCCTCCCCCCCCCATGATGAAGAAAAATACAAAAAAAAAAACCCCACACAAACACAAGACTTTGAAGTTAAGGACCAATGTTAATATAGAGTGTGATTGGAAGCTGCGAGAGGACTGAAGACTTGGATTTAAAACAAAGAAAAAACGTATAAAAAAATAAACACAACTTTACAGTTCATATATGTTAGTAACATTCTTAGTTATCATGCTTCTCCGGCTGAGTCAACTGTCACGAACTCTTCCCCCCTTTCTGGATAATCACGCCATCTGAATGTCCTGAAGTCATCGAGATTGTTACATGAGATCATTTTCAATCCATCTTCTGGAAAGAAACACGAGGCCAAGCCAAGTCATTCCCAGTAGTATGATTGTGACCAAAACAAAAAAACTACAAAAAAAGCTGAGATCTTGCTGTGCTGCTATGTGAGATTGTTTGCTGCATTCTTCTGAATGCGAGACGACGACCTCAGCCGATCGCCGCGGCCTGTGAAGGACTTGCCAAGCTCGGCTGTCAACCTCACCTCTGAGTTAGCTCCATCCTGCCACTGATCACGCACCCATCGAGCCATCTCTGCGCTGCTGATGTCTGCGTCTGGACCTCCTCCTCGCACTCAGAGCTTCATTCTCTTCTCTGTAGCAGCTTGCATATAATAGCCCCCTCCTCTCTCTTTCTTTTCACAGTCTGACATTAGGTGTTCCCTTCCTTCTCCACATCCCACTCGTCCTCTCTATCTCTCCATCCACCTGCTCTGCCTCTGTGAGTCAGTGGCTCTCAGAGGAAGAGTTTCACTCTTTTGGAAACCTGCCATTGGCCGTGATGTGATGATGGGTCAGGGAACAAATCAATAGGCGGAACATCAATAGTATATTTACATCCGTTCACCAACCACTCGTGACAGGGTATTCATGTCCGATCGCGCTGAGGGGGTGTGTGCGCGCGCTGGATTTGGCAGTGAGCTTAGATGAAGCAGCTGGGAGCAGGAGATAGGCCGGCAACGGTCCGCCTGCCTTGTGCCACAGCCCCTCTCCCATCCCGCCCTCCCTAGAGACCACCCCTGTAGCACTGTGCTGACACCTGGGTGGAAAAGAGAAAAAAAAGCACAGCCTACCTCCAGAAAACGAGCGGTAAAAGTGAAGTTGTGATGCATTGGGCAAAAGAATAACATGTCAGCTGTCAAAGAAAAGACTTCGGTTAATTATTTTGTGTCACTTCCACTGTAAAAAAGCACAGCATGTACTCCCGTTTTGAGTATGAGCGATACAAATATCAACACGTCAGTGTGACCAATAAGTAAGAAGCCCATCCAGTATTCAAGAGGGTGGGGGGTGTCTAAAAAGTGATAATGATTTGTGAAGTGGACCAAAACTAACTGGGGAAACAAAAAAGTCCACTGCAGCAGTGCAAGCCGATACCGTATACGGAGGTAGAAAGGCGAATTTAAACTGTAGCATGCAGGTTTCCTCTGACACATTCATACATCTCTATAGACTCCAGCTCCAAACATCTGCTTTCTGCCTCACCCCTCCTCACGTTGCCCCCCCAGATCTGGCAGTTAGCTCCAGCTCTGCTTAAGTGATTTCCAAAGGACTGTGGCGTGATCAGATTGGTTTTGTTTAATCAACAAAAACGTGCGTGAAGCCGTGGTCTGCGAGAGACCCTAGCATTATAGAGTCCTTCAGCAGTAAAAGAGAAGATCTGAGGAAGTGAAGAGGAAAATTCATCGTGAAGACGTATTCTTTTTTCCCACACTTGGAATGTAAGTGATACATCTGTCCACGGTTTGTGACCACGTTTTGACCTCAGACACAGGAGTACATTTTGTGTTGAATTATATCACCAGATGGACAGTACATATACAGTTTGACAATTTGTGCAATGTGATATATCATTCTATATCTATCACTATTCACTACAGCGTGCTATGAAAGAGTTATATTGTTCTATGTCATTTGTTTGCCTTCTTATAGGCCTTATAACCTGTTGGAGAAAAAACAGACCTTACAATTGCTTTGTATGTTGTAATTTATGTTTTGTTTCAGTAAAGGAAGTTGAGAAATGGGTGAGTTGGCTGCTGGTGTCTGTAGAGATGGCTCCCAGTGAGATTGTTTTGGAAGATAGTTCTCCTGGCTGGTACGGCAAAAAAAGATATGGTTCCTAGGCTATCGTAACCTCAGGTCCCTTGCTATGGCCCGCTCTGCCCACCCTCCCTGCTCCCTCCAACTCCCTGCTTAACACTACCACCAGTACCAACATACAGATACAAGCATGTAGGCAAACACACACACACTAATAATCATGCTTACTTGCTGGCCCGTTCTGCTGCGGAGAGGAGAGATGCTATCTAACAGTGCCTTCCAGCATTCCACTAGTGATTATCTATTCAGTTTCACAGGCAGATTTGAATTAGTCATGTATTTTCCCTTCAGTGCATCTCTCACTCTCTCTTCCGTTCTGTTCCCACAACTCCCGCCCCTTCCCTCATGCACACTGGGAATTCCTCGTTCCCCAGTGCACGAGAGCCGCTCGGACAGAAACTTAGGCTACGTTCACACTGCAGGTCTTAATGCTTAATTCCGATTTTTTGATCAAATCCGATTTTTTTTGTCTGTTCGTTCACACTACAAATAAAATGCGACAGCAAACACGCTCTAGTGTGAACCCTCAAAGCGGCCGCATGCACAAAAGAAGACGTCACACAATGCGCTCTGTTTAGACCCAGACCAAACAGTATTGTTTGACTGTTTCAGACTTTTTGTTTCCCAATTTTGCTTTAAGTTATAAAGTTATTTTGTTATTTACATATGGCCTAATAATGATCCTTATTGCTGTTTTAGAGGAGCGGTGCTTCAAAGGATAGTTAAAGATTTCTGTCAGAATCTGCCGATTATACAATACAAATAAAATGTTCACGTTTCTCCAACGCTGTCTTCAACAGTTTCACTGACATCTACACTGGATGGCCAGGAAGCGTTCACGATGTCTTCTCTGGCGCTTCTCCGGCGCTGATAATTGGTGTCTGTCTTGTGTCAGTGACATAAAAGACGGATTTAATGCGACATGACCATTTAATTAATGACCATTCAGCAGTCGCTTTCTAAAACATCAGATATGTATCGGATTCAGTACCACATACGAAAGTGACCCAGATCGGATTTGAAAATATTGGATTTGTGCCGTTCACACTGTCATACCATGATCGGATATGGGTCGCATAGGGTCAAAAAAAGTGGGATTTGATGAGCTTTAGCCTGCAGTATGAACGTAGCCTTAGAGGTCAGGCCACTTTTTCCATATAAGTAGATACTGTGCTGTTTGACTGAGACCCATTTAAAAATTGAAAGACGACTCATTTTCATATATTATCGCACATTTACATAGGACCAGTTTTATTGCACATTAGAAATTTATTCCAATTTCAGATGTTTAGAAGCATCGACTTCTTTTATTGTGTATTTAACACGCTGAAAAACAGTTTAATTTGAATATATAGTAGGAAGCAGATTTCCATTAGTCAACTTAGGTTCACTTGTCGATCTATATTATTAAAAGTGAGTTATGAATCAAGAGTCATCTATTTTACCTTTATCAGCTACACACTGTAAATACTGTAAAAAGAACAGATCATATATTTGGATATCGGTATTTTGCGTTGGAGACGAATGTTGTTCCAGTTCTAGCGTGCGGTAGATCTCAGTACCAGGTAATTGCATGCTTGTGGCATCCAATATTTTGCATGAGACTTAAGGCAACACTTAACGAGATCATTTAGTTTTGTTTAACTTCCAATTGAATCTCCTTTTCTTTTTTTTTTCCCCGGCAACACGGAACCATTCATTTGTGTGTACCCATACCATCTCACTAAAGGGAGTTCTTTTCTCTGTCCACCTGTCTCCTGCTCACTTGGCATTACAGGTTGTAGATTCTGTTTTTTTGTATTACTATTATTAATATTATTATTATTTATTGACACATAAGAGGGGAACATCTTTTCCTAAATAAAACACTGAACTGCTGATAGGGAAAATCAAAGGCACTGATGTTCTCTTAGCCCAGATATGATGGGTACTATAAACTCTAGCATCGTTTTAAACCCACACTGCTATGCTACAGACTGCTGGTTAATATTTTTTTCCTAAATATATGACTTTTTGGTTTGTTTTATTTTTGTGGAATGCCATTATGTGCAGAGGCAAAACGGGTAATCATTTTTCTACGACAACAGTGAACCAAATATGAGTTAGCACTGATCTTGGGTGTTTGTGTATAGATTTAGAGCTGAATAAATTCGAAACCTCTTGGGACGGGCTAAAAATAATCATAATCCTGAAGAGACACACACAGTATTTCATAGCTGTTCATATCACACTCTTGTTCCTTTTAAGTACAATGACTTGACATTACAAAGCAGTTCTTTGCTTGTATTTATTGACAGCAGTATTAAACAGTACCATTTTGGCCACATGGTTTCAATGATGTATATACGCTCGTTTGAGTTTTCTTATAAAGCTATCAATCTGACCTTGTGCTCCGAGCTGAGAGGATAGCCTTCTGTGCAAATTTATTTCTGTTTTTTCGCTTTCTCTTTCCAGTCATATAACCAAGGCAGCCAAGTTAGTTGAATGCATCAGAAGTTGCACAGATTTATGTAATTCCTTCTAGTCCAGGGTGAGCCAGTAGACGCGTTCACTCACAGTTAGCATAGCAACATCTTCAGTAGGAACTCCTTGGAGTCGGTTATGCAGTCCCGTGCTGTTCCAGAATAGTCAGGGTAAAAGTCTTCAATGAGCCATATGCCGATGTTGGTGTTCAATGGCAACAAACAGAAGACTGACGTCCCACATTTGGACACTATTCATTGTATATTACCATCTGGTTTCAGGGTTTGGTTTGGGAGGGGGGGGGGGTGTCTGGATTTTTTTTTTCAAGTGAAAAATGTACTCACAGAATCCATATCCTTTGTCATCATATGCAAACATTTGTCATTTTCTTTCTTGCTGGCTTTTGAGTTTGATTATTTGTTGTAGAGATGAAAAACCTGAAAAATAATGCCTATTCAATCCAGAAACTGTGAATGGGAGAGTGGAAATGTCAACTGTATGTACATTATATGTTTTGATGTAATCAGAAGCACTGGGAATATGTTGTACTTTGCTGTAAAAAAAATCAATCCATATCTGATATAGCTGTACTTTTTGTTGAAAATAAAACTACAGAACTGCGGGGGGGAGGGTTCGAGGCATCAGTCTGTGAGTGAGAGCATTGTGCTGGCCTTCCTGTCGTGTGACATCATCTCCTGTTTGTTTGTAGGGCCCATTCCTAACAGCTGACACATTAACTCCAGGATATATTATGTAAGATAAATAATATCACAGTGGTAATCACTAATCACACACACACACAAAAGAAAACTTTTTTTTTTAAATCAACAAACTTCTAAACACTAAAATTGAATCCTGAAAATAATTATGCTCTAATCAATAAGTAATGAGCGTTATGCAAATATATTCTCCCAGCTGGAGGCACTGAAGTGGAGGCTTTTTATTCTGCTTCCTGGTGTTTTGAAGTCCAAATACACAAGAATGTTTTTCAGGCAAGATCTAAGACATCCTGTTGTGGTGCAGACAGTGTGTGTGTGTGTGTGTCTGGATATCTAAATAAGTAAGGTGACTACATGTGTCTGTATAATGTTACCCGAGTGAAGGAGTGGGTTTAGTGAGGTAATATCAGAATAACAATAGTGCCTGTGAGGAGCCTGAGATTTGGATATCCACAATGTATGGTGTTACTGTGGTCTCTAGTGGCCACTGATGTTGTTACACTTCCCAAAGATACAGTGGATTTTCCAACATGGAGCCCTCCTTTTGCTTCTAAAAGCTTCATAGACATGAAAGAAAATCCTCTGACTTCACAGCTATAAACAATTTGGATGTAAAACAGTCCTTTAGCTTGTTCTGGTAAAAAATTAAAAAATGTATAAAAGAAAGAAAATTTTTAAAAAAGAAGAAAAGCATCACATGACGTCTGAGGTTTCGTGTTTCAAGTAATTTCTCAGGATCAGAGGAATGTCCAAGCTGTCAATTGCAGGCTCCTTGTTAGCAAAAGGGAGGTATCCTCTGATTGCCAGTCGAGCCTGTGACATCAGAGATTTGGGGCAAACTGTTGAAGAAACAGAAAACAACATTTGTATGCTGAGGCATTATAGCACCAACTCATAACAAAAGGCACCTTACGACAATTTAGGTAAAGACCCCACAGAGTATTAAAGGGAAAACCACAACCATCAGATAATCCCCTATGAGCGAGCGCATGGTGACTGTACGAAGAAAAAACTTCATTTGAACAGGAAGAAACCTCTGGCAGAATCAGGCTCAGGGAGGGGCAGCCCTTCTGCCATGACTGGTTCGTGTAAAGAAGAAAGACGAGAGAATATAAAATTGAATGGCATGCAGCAGTGGTGTATAAACGCATGTGAAGTGTAAAGAGTAAAGAAGAAATCCTCATTGCATCATGGGACATCCCCCTGCAGCCTGAGCCTATTACAGCATAACTAAGTGATGGTTGAAAGTCACCTGATCCATTCTTACTATAACCTTTATTAAAAAAACAAAAAGGAAAGTTTTGAGTCTAATCTCAAAAGCACAGAGGATGTTTGTCCCCTGAATGCAAACAGGGAGCTGGTTCCAGAGGCGAGGGGTCTGAAGGCTCTGTCTCGCCTTGAGGCGACTTTTGTTGTGATTTGGCGCTATATAAATAAAATTGAATTGAATTGAATTGAATTGTCTCCCATTCTACTTCAGAAACTCTAAGAACAATAAGTTAGGCTGCAGTGTGAAAGCAAAGCTCTATTATTGCAAGCTCTATCATCATGGGGTCTGATCATTCAAGATTTTGTATGTGAGGAGAAGGATTTTAAATTAAATTCAGGTGTGACTCGCTCTCACCTCTCTCCTTGAGGAGCAGAAGCAGAGCTTCGTTCTGCTTTGTGGTTTTGTCAATGATGAGTGTCGGCAGATAGACGTCTGCTCCAAAGTCTATAAGAAGCTGAATGTACTCCACCCCACAGCCGTAGCGGAGACACACCTCCAAAACTGTCTTCGGCTGTTTGATCCTTGCCAACATTTTCTCATCCGTGCAGTTGTAGTTGGGGTTTGCACCGTGAAGAAGGAGCAGTTTAAAGCAGTCCAGGTGTCCATACACAGCTGAGATGTAGAGGGGCCCTCTGCACGCTGTGGCGTTGGAGGCCCATTCGGGGACCTTGGGCTTCACGTCTACCTCAGCTCCAAACCGAAGCAGCTCTCTGAGTATGTCGACGTCACCCTCTCGGGCAGCGGTCAGCACCGGGGAGCAGTTGTTGTACTGGCTGCCATTGGGATCTGCTCCAGCATTCAGCAGTGAAACTACACAGTCCAGATGTTTCCCACTGACAGCTGTGAACAGAGGCGTCTGGGCCTTCACGTCCAAGCTGTCAACCTGGATTCAGACATAAGAAACCAACAGGCTTTTTTAAAAGTTGATACAAGAAGTACGCCACTGATTTATCACCGCAAGTACTTTTCCCCTGAGTAAGTATCGAATACCGTCCTGTGTGCATGCGAGTAAGTGACTGGATCACAGTTTAACACCGTTCTAAGGGA